TACGTAGTTTCGATATGATTCTCTTCTATATCCGTGTGGAGTCAGGGTTAGTAAGGTCCCGGCAACGCAAATTTGGTCAGCTCGAAGTCAGTATGGGTATCCATGTTTAACTGACCCGTGAAGATCCGGGGTAGAATAGGTCTTCAACAACCCATGCTTGCCGTAACAGGCGACTCTGCTTGTCGTAAGAGGCGACTTACTGGATCAGGTGGTAGGGCTCGCTGACTTGGTTGATGCATGTCATCGATCCCAATTGCGTGGATCGATGCTCATGATGTCAATCACTGGATTGTCTGGTTCCAGATTCAGTTATGTTCAGACCGACGATCAAATACACAGTTCGTTATATCCGCCAGTTCGTTATAAGCGTGTTAGCTATAAACGTAGTTTACTGTTTCCGTGAGGTCGGTTTAAGACAACTTGTTGTAGGTTTTTTTGTGTGTGTTTTTTAATAATTTTTATTGTTCCCAGGTTGTAGAGTAATACAGTATTCCGTCAAAAACATATTTCGGATTTCATAGAATGACACAATACACTCTTTAAAAAAGTAAAGGTTTTGAAACAAACATTGTCGTATTTCAAACTTTTTGGAGTTGTTATTGTTGTCATCCTTTTTGATAGCAATAAATTTCTCGATTAAATATATGTTTTTAAGTAGTTTAAAAAGTATATCTATTTTCGGTTTGATTCCTTTGATTTAGTTTGACGCGACATAACGGCGACATCAGCGTTATATGGAAAGAAAGCTCCACCCTCATGGCGACAATGGCTTTTTAACACTGATTGAAATTGGGGTCAAAAGAGTCGAGAACAGCAAGTTTGGATCATTAAAATATCTACTTTTACAAAACGATGTGTGTTGAATACAATGTGAAAATGACCTCTCTACGTTTTGTTAATGTAGACAGCAACTTAAATCCCATTCACAAGACAGTCGACCGCCTCCGTGATCTGGTGGAGAGCGGAAGGTCCGGGGTTCGATCCCCGGCCGCGTCATACCAAATGACGTTAAAAGATGGTACTTGTTGTTACCCTGTCTGGTGCTCGGCATTAAGGGGCTAAAACAAGGACTGGTCGGCTCGGGGTCAGTATACTGTGTCTGAGTGGAGTATTCATGTTAAACTGCGGCATGATATCTCAGTGTGCTAGCACTATAAATCGGCATCAGTCTGGAGTAGTACAAGCAGCCACACACACACACGTGCATGCACGTCGCTATATAAGTGCAATAATCTTGGACGCGACGTTAAACCCCATTTCACCTCACATAAGACTCACTGTGATACTGTGTGTAGATCCTAGACACAAAGTTATAATGTTGACTCGTCTAAAGGGTCTAAACACGTTTAGTATTATGTTTAGCAGCTACATGTGTTTATGGTCTAAAGATTTATATGTATATTTCTGGGTTTATTATCGTTTTAATGAGGTAACTTAAACAATGCATTGGTCTGTACACTCTGTATATCTAAAACCCCATGCATAATTAATGCTTTAGCTAAATTTATATTTATTGCTTTTAAAAAGCGTAATAACTTTCTCACTGGCGCTGAATCGTATAATGGGCCAGTGGCCCCTTTACTGAAATAAAGCTCTCTCTCTCTCTCTCTCTCTCTCTCTCTCTCTCTCTCTCTCTCTCTCTCTCTCTCTCTCTCTCTCTCTATCTCTCTCTCTCGCTCTCTCTATCTCTCTATCTCTCTCTCTCTCCCTCCCTCTCTC